GGAGTCTCCTTAATAAGAATTTGACAAAGTGGAACACACCTAGTGAGTATGAAGCGCATCATGGACAATCCTTAAATCTACGCATCACGTATATACTGCCGTCAACTGCAGTCAAATTTTGCTCATCTGATGAAAATCAGTGAAGTTTGGGGGGAAACTAACACAACTGTCTCTTTTTTTCTGGAAAACTTGCTGATTGAGGAAAACTTATCGATACAAAAAACTATCATCGATATTTCTCTTTGTTTCAAAAAGTAGGCAAATATTTTTTGACAATACTCTATCATGATGACAAACTGGTGATGTTGTCAGCTGTCCCCATGCATGCATCACACATGGATCTTCAGTGCATTTGCCTTCACCATATGAGGCCTCAGCTTAAGTGATGAGAAGCTCACCTTTTAGCTTGGAAATTTCATTTTAACTGGAAATTAAACTTCCAAGGAAAGTTGCAGTTGTACATCTGACATTAATTGTCCACCACCTTTAGCTGGAAAAAGTGGATGTCTTTGGGTTTATAGGGAAGAGACATAATCATACTCGTCGCCGCCATGTGTCAAGTTGAGTGGAGTTTGGCCATTTTTTCTAAAAGAAGTGTTCTGTGGCAAGGAAAATAGCCAGGGAAACCAGTCTGTGTAAGCTAAGTTCAATTAGACTTATAGATTGATATTGTTTTGTAAAAGAGGTTTCAGGATTATTCCAAGTAGGTTGCTGTCATGAATAGTTTATAAAGGGAAAAGGAAAGGAAATGAGACTTGCTGATCATCAGCATCAACAGGGCCACTCCTCGTTCTTTTCTTACCATTTGATTCTATACAGCTTTATGGTCAATGTTTGGAAGTACCAGTATTTGATGATTTTGGTTTGGTTCAGTGGTTTGGCTGTAGTACAACAAAAACAACGATGTGTATAACGGTTTGCAGTCTGAAATACTGCAATGTGCCAACACAGTCTGTTTCTGAGACTGTACTCATGTAATGCACACAAATGTTTATAAATGTTTAAGTTTATAAATGCAGAGTGAATGTCAGCCAGCTGTAAGTTGTACCCTTTCCAATGGTGTCTTACATCAAAACAGTTTATAATGTGAAAATCTCATAGGCCATATATAGTTGAAGATACGCGACTTCCAGCAGGGCCGTAAACTGGGTGTTGGGTTGCATTGACAACCCCCGCGACTTATTTGGAAATGCTGCTGCCGTGTGCTCAAAAAACATCTCAGCAGCTAGATTTCATATTCAACTAGACCCACGCTCCCTTCGCCCCATTTTTTGTACGAACCAGGAGACGGGCCTGCATGGAATGTTGAACTTGTCATGGCCGATAAAAAAAGAAACCGATTTTAAACACTGATTTCTCCGTGAACTGTCTTGGAACTTTAGACAGCTGACAACACATAGGTTCATGTATGTGATGAGCACAGGCTGGCATGCCACAACACCTGCTTCTCTAACTACCTGAAACACATACGTAATTGGGATTTTAATGATTTTTCCACTTGTCTATAAGCACTTACACTTTGTACTGAACCGCCAAAGTTTTAGATACTGGTAAATCCTATGCTTCCTGTATTTTGTGTGCATGTCCATACATGTATCATAGCTGTGAAGAAAGGTGGAGAATATATATGAGAAGTGAAGACTTTAGTGGCAACTACTGTGTGGCATGAGCAGCAACATCAGAACTACCAGGGAAGCAAGTCAGACGGCCTCCCCTGGCAATAATAAAATGGTGTGGTGTTGTACTGTGTCCAACTCTACCTCAGCTTAGAATTTGATGCAACAGTCTGGAATCCTGCACTTATCCCATCTAAGCAGCCTTTATGCACTCTTTGCATTTTGTGAGCCAAAGACTGGCTATACATGCCGTCCCTTTTAACAGCATGCTGCATTAACTTCACGAGGACTTGAATGAAAGGAAAGATGATCCATCTACATGTAGCTTGACTGATGGAGGAGATGCATTTGATGAAGACAAGTACATGTAAAGTTCCAGATGTTTTATACATGTACATGCATAATTCACATCAAGAAAGAAGAATTGTCAAAGACTAAACAAAGGTGTGTTTTTTCATACCTTTGTTCAAGGTACATGTAAAATCAGTTGGTTTCACTTTGTGTTGCTTGAGGAATTAAAGGGGTATTCCACTTGTATGTGCTTTTGTTGTATGCACAGTATCTATAATGAAACATACAATGTAAGAATGTAGTTTTAAATGCATTATGCCATTAGTCTTAAATTTCAGTGAAAAGGATAATTTCTCAGCCTAATTCTAGCCCATTCCTTTGATTTTGTAATCATCTAAAAGGGTATATCATTTAGCTTCTTTTTGGATTTCACATGTGAACTAGAACCTGTGAAGTGTGAACTGGAAATCTTTAAAATTGCAGCTTAGTACACACGCAGCATTGTCATACAAAAATGTTTAATTTCATGTTCTAAGACCAAAAGATCTTACAGGTACATGTATGCAATTGTCTTTTAATTTATTTATATAAAGGATTGTCAACTGTAGAACACTTTTTTTAATGACTTGTTTAAATGAGCAAAATTTGCATAAATACTTCTAGACGATATTTTCCTTCATACTGTTTCATTGAATGCCCCATCATCCAATTCCTTGCTAGTTGCTTTTGATAATTTTTGTATGGCTTGGCATTTTCTTTTGCTTTGGAAAGTTTACTAAAGCCTTCATGAAGGTAGAAAAATGAGACAAGCTTGGGTTTGAACTGATTACCTTCTATTCTGACAAGTCAGTTTGGATGTGTACGTCCGACACCAAAAAATGTACGTCCGACACCAACATAATAAATGCTTTATCTGAAAGTCACAACAAGATAAAAATGTGTCTTGCCTTGAAGTTTATTAACAAGGGTCTGCTAAAACTAAAGACAGGAAAGCTACTTCTTCAGGTCCTAGCATTTCACAGAGTTTGAGATACAAAAATGGAAACTCAGAAAATTAACTTTCTTTGAGTACGTCCGTCACCATGGTGTTATGAGTCAGTTTCTACAAGGATAATAATACTGAGTGAGGAATTTTGTTATTAAATGAATGTACCGACTAGCTGATGTCTTTTATCAAAATCAAAATCTGCTTCAGAATTATAAATATAATTAACACACACTGTTGAAGTGTTCAAAATGTATGTCCGACACCGTGGAACTGCCCAAAACTAAAAGATTTACATTGCACTAAATACATTTGTGCATCAAGTGGCAACCTTGGCAAACAGTTGTGAAAATCAAAAGGCGAATTTCTCTTTGAAAAATATGGCCCTCTCAAGCTGCAACCAGGACTCCGATGTTAATCTATACCCCAGGGAAGGCGTCCTTACCTACTATCAGTTACACCATCCATCAACACACTGCGGATGGCCAGTCGGGCCCTTCTGCCAGATCTACATGTACTTTCAACAGCCGCTACGCGCCACCAACGTGTGGATGACTGTCTTATTTGGTCCGTACACGCATTGTGCTTGTGTGTGGCTTACATTTACTGCCCAGCAATTTACAGTACATTGAGTATGAGTACACGGTACTGGTCCGAAAGTAAACTCGACTAGAAAAATTCGATTATCGTGGCTTTAATTAAAAGAAGCTTCCATTGAGTTTGCAGTGTAGTCTCCTCTCATAAGAAAAGTTAATATTGATTGAAAGGAATGAATTGAAAAACAAAAGACACAAAAAAGCTAGAAGGCAACGTAATGGAGGCCTTTTTATAAGCTGGTGCACAGATTTTAAAGAACAAATTTCGAGGACAGAGAATAGTTTTTTTACATGGGTGGATTATTTTTCGGTGGATCCCGGATTTTTACAAATAGAAAACTATTTTTTCCACTTTCAAATCTGAAAGGTCGACTGATCTGAGTACCAACTTAAAAAAACACTTTCCCTTAACCCACGACCAATCACACTGACCCTGGTTCCTCGTTATGTACGGCATCAGGTGCGCTCGTAAAGTCTGGGACCCAACAGACAGAAGTATCGTCTACTGATGAATGAAAGTATTCCCCCCCTCCCCCGATGATTATCATGTGAGCAAATTTGGTCAAAAGGAGTTATGTTGAACCTACATGTAAGTGGCTGCAGACTGATAATGTGCATCGGCGGGAATGAAAATGAAATAAAACGTAAGTCTTTTAAAACAAAATTGATTGTTTTGTTTGTGGACTTGTGTCCGTGGGTGATTACACAGCAGCTGTTAACAAAATGAAACAGTATTGCTTTATAGAGCTACATACAAAATAAGCTACCAAAATTTCTTAATACCGTTTGTGTCCAACAACTTGTGAAAACTCAAAAAGGCATTTAATGTGTATGAAATAGACCATGGAGGAATATTTCCTTCCTCCATGAATAGACAAAACATCGACATGGTTACCTAAAAGACAGTTTGGAGTAATCTCTATAGAGATCATTATGTTGAAGCATTCTGACAGCGAAATTTAGTGCATACCTTTATCTATCTGCCTTCTAAATTATGGAGCAGAATTCTGACAGCGATGCCGGTTTAGCGCATACTTTGATCTGCCGCGGCTCTCCAAATAAGGGGCAGAATTGGGCCGACAACAAAGTTCAGTGTGTACCATGATCTGCCCTCCCAATACGGGGGCAGAATTCTTCCGACAATGAAGTTCAGTGTGTACTATGATCTGCCCTCCCAATATGGGGGCAGAATTCCGATGAAGTTCAGTGCGTACTATGATCCGTTCAAATTAAGCCAAATTAACCGGCACAAATCAGACTCATTTTATGTTGGTTTAAGGGAATCTGGTACAATTTCCACTAACAAACGCGAGATGAGATACACCACTAATAGTGTAATGTATGTGGTTAACTGCACTGAATTAATTGACCCTGTATGGGCCCAACAGTATTGAAGGGCAAAGTAATTCCCAGGTGAATGTAATGATCCAAGCATCAAAATGCTTTCGATCACAGTTTGCTGCACAAATTGTGGTTGTGATGGAGTTATAGCCCCACAACTGTCTGACTCACCCAATAGCAGAGGCTCCATAACCGCATGTACATGTAGGTGTATGTCAGCAGTCTTGAGATGTAATATCTGTGGAAGGAGGAACATGCAAAAATTGTTACAGAATTTTAAAGATGGCTTCTATTGGGTCAGTCATTTCATTTGACAGAGCAAAAAGCCTTTGCTTGACCAAAGGACTTAATTATACAAGTTGTAACATACAGCACAAGGAACTTTAAGAGTGCGTTTTGTGCTACTGCTCCAAACATTTAACAAGTCCCCAAAACAATCTTTGACAGGTGAAAGATCCTAACCCTAACCATTCTGAACCCAACAAGCATATGCATGATTTCAATGGACCCTTGGGGGGTAACAAAAACATCCCATAAAATGACTAAATTTCCTGAAGAGATTTGGTACACGTAGATGATAAAAAACACAAATGAAGCACATTAACTTCAATCATATGTGTAAATCTAAAAATTGTTCACTCTCTTACCAACTATACTTAAGTTTTATCCAACAACCTGTACATGACTTGTTTTTTAAGAGGAAGCCATTTACAAATTTCATGTTCTGGGTAGCCATACTCACCACGCCAGTGTGTCCTGTACAAGGGACAGTAGCCATGATGTCATCTGAACAAGGAGTTACATCAATTTGTATGGTGTACCAGCACATCTTAGTGATGCTTGTAGGCAAACAGATTCATTACAGCTAGTTTCCTGACACAAGGAATAGTCCTCAAGTCTGAAATGGATGCAAAGTACATGATAAATATTTTAAAATAACAAATAATAGTTCAAAAGTCTATGTCCCAAGTCTAAGAAAAAAAGTGAGATTAGTCAAACTGTCTTCATTTCTTAAATGGCAACAGCTGTGCACAGGATGTCACATGGTGTCTGTGTACCAGGGTATAGGCCTACGGAATTCTCTAAAACTTAATGCCAAATCTACAATAATGCAGCACAAAGAGTGAAAAGAGAATGGCTTAAGTATTTGATAGGTGTTCATTACCTTTTGCATCCTGTTCCTATAATAAGGAAACATCCTAATGTTTTGTCAGTACATGTACACCGACCATTTCCACAGGAATGTGAAAAGTACTGAAATGCATTGCTGTTGTCAATAATATGATGGATTTGCGAACATTTACATCAGGGGAAAAGTTTTATATTGAGAATAAAAATTCTGCATCCATCAAGCTAAAAACAGTTTACCTGACATCCCTGAAATTTACTATTTATACATGGAGACATCATTTGTGACATGATATGCATTTTTAGGCTGAGTTAAACATCAAGACAAGTGTAAGTAGGGGCCTATAGAGCCTATAACGTTAATCAGGCCGGGACCCTTTCTAGGGCCGACACCATGAACAACCCGCCCAATTCCTTGGCGGACATATTCCCACTAGTGTGGCACCGACTCTCATTCCCGATCCATCCTTAGCCACACATCCGTATGTGCAATTTCATGTTGGCGTACTGAACATTTTCGGCGCACCCACTTATCATCGTGGGCACAATTTCTTTTGCACACGAACATGATCCTTGACCTTTCCGTTTTCTAAAAACCATTTATTGAATGATTTCACTCACGTTATTCAGGTATTTTCCAGTCTTTTTGCCTTTATCCATTCAATCTAACGGGCTCGCTCTCAGTCGCCATCTTTTAAAATAAGATTGTTGAACAATACGTCACTTGACCCCTCATCGTCTTGATGGCTCTTCCATGTCAAGACATATGTAATAAACGAACTGAGCGATAAGATACTACACGTACCAATGGGCTCTTCCAAAACTTTGGCAGCAGTTTAGATGTCTTGACATGGAAGAGTTGGCAAAAAGACTGGAATATACCTGAACAACGTGAGCGAAATCATTCAATAAATGTTTTTAGAAAACGGAAAGATCAAGGATCATGTTCGTGTGTAAAAGAAATTGCGCCCACGACAAGTGGATGCGCCGAAAATGTTCAGTACGCCGACACGCGAGTCCGTGCCACACTAGTGGGGCTATGGCGGACAAGGCGGAGGCTACAAAACGGTACCCATAAATTCCAAAGAGTTCCACATACGGACAAAACAAATTTTCTCCTAAAATGTTGTAACAGTCATCAGAAAGTGATAACATGTTCTAAAATGTGAAATTTAGCAAAGAAAATTCCGAAGTATTTACTAAGAAAACACTGGGTTTTTTTCAGACAAGTCCCCTAGGTTTGCGCACAGAGGCACTAGGTGTTGTACGTATGGATCTCTTTCCAAAAATCAATTAAAACGTACACATATATACACCAAGCCTAGGATTTAATTTCAGACAATGTTGTTTCAAACATTAAATGGCTGATAGGCATGCTTACCTACCAAACTGCTGTCAAAAAAGAAGAAAAAATATCCACATTTTGGGGCTGCAAATTCTTTTTTCCCACGTTGAATTTCAAAATGGCCGGCATTTCGCTCACGTGGTCGTTGAATTTCACCCGACGTACCAACGCACGGCGCAAAAAATGGACCAATGAGAGTTCAGCAAAACATTATGGCAATTAGTGTTCAAAATGGAAAACAGCCACATTTTTTAGAATGAAAATACAGGTATTTGTACTCTTTAATGGAGGAATAACAAAGATTTGTCTCATTATGTTTAAAGCAATTTTAAGAATCTTTCTTAAAAACTGTTTTTAGAGGCTTCACTTTGCTTGATTCACAGGACACGTCCCTACAACTGTAATGAACTCTTCCAAATTTGAAATGCCAGCGGAGGGATTGCTTCCTTCGCTTTTAACATTATGTAGTACCACTTTTAAGTGACATTTTCTGTGAATTTTGCGTGAGATAAACCTTGACGTTTGATTTAAGACAAATAACTGCATAACCAAGTTTTCAAACCCCCATTTTGATGGCAGTATTCCGAAAGCTCTGTTAAACAATGACATTGGTGGAGGGATTTGGTGTTCAATCGGCATTGAGTGATGCCATCTTTGAATAAAATGCTGGATTGCAATACACAACTGTGGGTGTCTGGAAAGTCTCAGGTGCCACCAGTGGGAATCAATTTGAAAGTCCAAGTATTTGGTATTACAGTTGATGGTTCTTACATTTCTCATGTCATAAAATAAATGAAATTGAAACGGGCTTGTGACATGTAGATTAAACAGGTTTAGACACACAGTAGGCCCCGACAGCTTGTCGGCAAAGGGTATCAATACCAGTAATGCAAAAAGTAACAGATGAAGTCATGGACTAAGGAATGTTTCAAAGCCTTTCAAAATGAAAAGTTTTATTTCCAACATGAAGCATATTCTGTGTACTAGAACACTCTTTGACAAAAACCTGCTATTACACAGGCCTACCCCAAATGAGGGAGATGGTAAATCACACTTTGGCCTGGTGGTACACTTTCTAGTCTTGACATCTATTATAAGTACAGTCAGTGTGCCTCACAGCTAGCTGTAAATAAATTATAACAGAATTATCAGAATAGTTACGAGATCATGACATATCAATATTAATATACTGCACAAAAGTTTGATAGGGCGGAGACATAAATTGATACTCAAACAACATGAGCGAAGCACTTTCAAGATGCATATAGGTTACATTCTTCAGTCAATCTGGTGTTCCAATTTGAATTCATTCTAGGTAATGACATTGTTTTCTCACTTCTTTAATGACGGTAATTGCACTGCTGGATGAAAATTTCCCAAACTGGAACTTTAATCAATGGAATCATGATTTGAAGTACACTTTGAAATACACTGAGCTACCAAGTGCTTATTCACCAAACGCATCTCAGACAACTCCAACAGTCAACAATTAGATGTTGGTTACAACCACAAAATATAGGGAGCTGTGATATAAGCATACTGCACTTTTTATGGAGTTTTTAATGTCAGATTAAGTGATCACATAACCCAATACGTAAACTAATTTTGTGGGAACATGGTAATGGGACTGAATGTGGAATCTTCCTAGAGTGAAAAAGTATATATGTACATATATACTTGCTGAGCATTTTTTGTAAACTAAATTTATCTTCAATTGGAATCAACTTACGATAATGGGAGGTGCTGGGACACTACACTTGTGACTTGTCCAATCATTCTGACAACAGGAAATATGAAATCCATCACTGTGTAGTGAAAGAGTTAAACTGGATGTCTTTTCACATCCAACATGACACTTGTTAGAAAGATGGATACTATGAAGCGTTAATTTCCAAAATGCGGTATATCCATTTGAAAGACATCAAATTCTCCCACATCTCTGAAATATTAACAAAAAACAACATATTGGGTGTCCCTAAACTTAGTTGTTTTAGTTTATTGATATCATTTCTGAGTATATATAACCTTTTGAAACTGACTTTAGGTAACCAGAAGACGGTGGGCCTCTAAACGATTCCCAAATGGTGCACATCACTGAATTTTTCAAATTCACTGCCCTGCTAATAGGCTGCCATCTTTGGTCAAGTTTGAAAGCATACAAGGAATGTGACCATAACAGGTTATACAGCAAAATCATGTGATGATCCTCAGTCTTTTTCTAATCTATCACAAAGACACATCAAACAGGTTTGGCTGAAACGTCCATGTTAAATGCATGACAATTTTCTTTTTCTACAGAAGCGTTATTCAGAGATTAAGCAACAAACTCCTGAGTACTTTGCACTTAATAGAAAAAAAAGGCAAGGAAAGGCCAAAGCATGAATAATCTCTCTTAACATGTCAAGAAAGTAAAAAGTCTTCCTGGGTAAATACAAAATGTAACAAGCCACATGTGTAAGTCAGTTTTCCAACAGTGTAAGGCAGATGGGACAATGTGGCTTTTGTACTTCTGACAAGATGGTTTGAGAAGCAAAATGATGGCACACAAGTAGATAAGTGCTAACTGATAACAAATGCGAACTGATAAAATTCCAAATGAAAATATTTTTCTGATCAATTGAAAGAAAAAAATATTAACCAGGTGATGTAGTTGTCAAATTATGTTTACAGATAGTACCAAATGAAAGAATAGATGGGAGCAGTTGAATGCGTTCTTGATTATATAAGTCCAGCCTTAGCTTGTTTGACTAACTGAAAGCATTGCTATCCCGTTTAACGGTGAGCTTTATTCCACTGGCATATTATTTTAGCAAATCTTGTGGCCTATGTGATGCGTCTAATATTTATGCTTCTACACTACAGTTGTAATGACTTCATTTCAAACTGTGAAACTCTTTCTTCAACATTTATTTTGCAGAATTCAGAACAGAATTTTGGAATCCTAAACAACTCTTCCATTCCAGACATATTTGTTTGACTTCAGGTGAGATGCTCCACACTGAGTGATCCGCTGTGCTTCACCAGCACCAAGCACAGCAGATGTCAGCTTTAACAGTTTCCAGGGCAACACAATTGAAACTTGATGCCCATCACAGCTTAAACTCTAGGAGGAACACTTAAGATGGTTTCTGTCTGCACCTGTCCTTGATGACAGATATCAAATCAGCTCTGGGTATCTGCTCCTACAAATTGAGACCAAAGATTGCAAATAATTATCTGGATGGCAAACTTTTCAAGAAGGAAAGTGATGTAGGTAGTATAAAGTTCCTTTTCACTACAGAGGAACCACGAATCCTTAAGTTTGATATTTATAAATTGTTCACATAGTTTGTCAATGGTCACCACTTGTAGAATAATGTGACGTAAGTCAGTTAAGTCATACATGACACAATACTGTCTTCAAAGTATGGAATTTTCCAGACTTTAAATTTGCTTCAGACTCAAAACACACAAACTCCTGCAAATTGAAACGGGGATCTTCCCAAATTATGTGATTTCTCCTTCTTAACACCAATAGGAGGAACAGGAGATATTTCTCCAGGGAAACTGGTCAATACTGAAAATTAAGATTTCACCTGCTTAAGAAAAAAGTCTACTTTATTCAGGGATAAAAAATGTGAACAGGCACCATTCTGATGAACCAGTGGCTGTCTTCACCAAATAAAACAAAGCAATCATCTGACTTTTGAGAGTTTGAAAGGGCAGGGTTTTCACATTCCAAGTCCCAAATCTGCAAATATAATGAGTAAAATTGGGCATGCCTACAAATGGTGTATCCAGTGGGGAGTTCAAGCCCCCCCCCCCGACTTGTTACCATCTCGGGGGCAATTCAAGGGTCGGCATTTTAGAAACTGTACTACCACCTTTCGTGGGGATGGGGTATGAGGATTTTTTTACGGGTTAAAATATTTGGATGTTTATTTTAAGAAAAACTTCCGTTGTGACCCTCCTGGATCACTGACCTGGATACTTCACTGCTGCCCACCCCACTGCACTTTGAACACATCCCCTCCATCCCTCTTTGCATAATGTGTAGCCATGTCCAAACAGACCTACAACGTAATTACGTGACGCTCTGTTTACATGTTCACTTTCTTATGGCAGTGAGGTAGGACAAGGTCTGGCGAGCCCCAAAGAGAAAGTGCACCAATAGGCAAAGAGTGACGGCATTGTGTTTTAGGTCGATTGCCCAGCTGCAGCTGGTGAGAACCAAATGCTTCTGTGGGAAATGGATGCAGGAACCACCCAGCAGATTCCACAACTTCACACATCATTCATACCAACGTGAAGAATGTGAAGCCCGACCCTTGTTCACTTCCCCTGGTATACGGCACTGATGCCTACCTCTTCTCTTGTCTCTGTGTTTCTCAGGGTCACGGTTCCGCTCTTCAACTCTGCCTCCCCCACGGCTGCTATCAGGGGGATGCCGGTGGTCTCCGCCATTTGGTACTGGTTCAGCATCTTGGGGTTCCGCTTGTAGACCATCTCTGCCTGCGGGAGCAGGAAGTAAATCTGGACAGTCAGCCCCCGTGTTGTGGGTTTGATGCATGAACAAAAAATGCCATAATCTCCAGCGGGGCAGCAAATCTCATGCATGAGCTTGTTTGCACGTCTGAAATGGTGTACGCATAGGTAATTTTGCAAAACTACAGCTTATTTGCATGGGCACCGGGTAAATGGCACCAATGCCATTTTGACTGTAATCCACGCTTCTCTAATGGTCTCCAGTGAACAGGGTGCTTGCACGAGGACGGATACCCAACATATTTGAGAGTTATCTCTGAAATATTCCAAGACTGCGGGTTATGCCTCAAAGTATGTCAGGTGTGGAACCCAACTGTGCAAACAATTCGTTGTACTGAAAGCTTTGGAACATGGGTCCATGTAACTTGAAAACTCCCTCAAGAAATTTACTGACATTTCAAGTATAGTAGTATTTATCAGGAAATATCGGGGTGGGGTATGATGTGCCAACTGTTCTTGAGAATTTTGTATTATCATAAATTTGGGGCGCCTCCATTTATTTACGTAGTGACTAAGAATCACACTTGGGTTTCAGAAGTTTTACACTATTTCTGGAGGGACAAACTGCCGAGTTTATTGCTCAGAAATCACAGAACTCAACAAGGCTTCCTTCTCATTGTAGTAATACTTGTTGTTCTCCCCCTATTTTTAACTACACGTTTCTCAATCCCCTCAAAATGCTAAACAATGTTATACATCCTTGTGTGCGGAAGCCAACCTGACCTGCGACCACAGCATCCGGGGTGGAGGTCAGCAAAAATAGTACAAGTTGTATACACACTCATTAGGCTTGGTTCCAGTCGCCCACATACATGTAATTGGACAAATCCAAATTACTACATTTACTTTTTTATTGTGGGAAATGTTTCCTGGGGGTGTAACTTTCTGAACTTCTTGAATGGCTTGGACAGCTTATTTCATCTAAAGTCTTCTTGTCTGATGGAACAGCTATGAGGCAACAGAAAACTTCCAAATCTTCCAACTTTGAAAATGTTAACTAATTTCAGAATTTGTTTAAAATTGCAGCCCTTTCTAAAAGGTATGCATGCATTGGAAATTACAAGAAACCCTCCTCTTTAAAAATAAATGATCATTCTAAGATAACATGAAATGATAGCTGTAATCAATTATGAAGCAACTGATGATGTCACATCATCCAATCTGCAGACACCTTTATTGAAAACTTCACTGAGTAGCAATATCGGCTCTGTCACGAACAAGGAGACTCAAAAGTGCTTTCTGAACTTCGCTCCTTATGCAGATAGTGCCTTTAAGGCCTAAATTAATTCTCGAACTAGACACCCCAATGCCTCCCAAATAAGTACTCTCCCAAAATGTACTACCACTTGCCTTGATTCCAGCATCCCACAATTCCCTGCAGAGTTTTAGTCTCTCCTCCAGCATGCCGCTCTGAGCAGAGGCTACCAGTACTTCCGTCTCTGTGGTCCTGATTTTCTCGGCGTTGGCCTCGGCTTTGGCCTCCATGATGGAGAAGATCCGCTCGATGCCAATGCTCAGGCCGACACAGGGCACCTACGGTCAAAACGAATAATACAAATGATCTACTTTCCAAGAAAACTCCCATGGGTAGAGTCCAAGAACAGAATGCTCTGAGAAACTTTCACCACTAGACAGGAATTTCAATACTGTGTGGCTTGCAAGAGCCATCAATGTACGTCACAGTGACTAGGCATCAAATTTGTGTGGGTGTGGTGTGGAATATACATGTATTTTTTTTCAGTGCTACCTTTAGATGTCAGCAGCAATGGCGTACAAACATCTGTGGTAACTCTCTTTATTTGTGAGAAACCTGCATGTGAGGCCTATAAATGTGGTCTCGGCTGAATAAAGTGTTCTGCAGGCCTTCCGGTATAAGTGTTGTGTAGGCCCTACTCAGTCATAGACACCATCACTAATTTCATTGAGCTGGTAAGTACTGGAACCTTCCATTTCATGTTGATGCTAATCTATCCTGATAACCAGCTGGAATTAAGCCTTTTCCAAAATTGAGAAATCAAAAAGAGGAGCACACTGTGGTCTTTATGTAGGTCCTAAATGTGGATAAACGGCCCAGCAGATAGTGGGAAAATGGCAATTGATACTTGGTACTTGATAAATGGTACTTGACCTGAGTGAACTATACACCTGCCAGAGGGCATTGACATGTACAAAGCCATTGGGGTAATCTACTTGGCACAAGACGGCTACAGGTTTACGATCACTTGGACAGGTTTCAGAAAACTTGGAAATCTCTTGGAGTCTCTACCTGCTTGCCCTTGGGGTCAAACATGCTGACCAGGCCATCGTAACGCCCTCCTCCCGAGACCGACCCCACTCCCACCTGCTCTCCACCCTTGGTGGGCAATAACTCAGACCCTGCATAAAAAAAACAAAGAAATGAGGACATTCAATGCAGAACGAATAGAAAACACCACAAGCTTCTGGCAAGGATGTGGGCTTTTGGAGGGGCGGTGAAAGTCCCTTTTCAAAAATACCCAGAGAGTTAAGGTTGATGGTTACAGTTACCTTTCAGCACAGCTTCAAAGATGACCCCTGTGTAGTAGTCCAACCCTCTGGCCAGGCTAAGGTCAAAGGACACCTAAGAAATTACACAGTAAAAACATCAATATTGAAAAACTGTCATAAAGCAGTGATGCAAAAAGAAATAAGGCTCTTTTTTGAAGGCCCCAAGGATAGCTTTATCCACACCCAGTGCAGCGTAGAGCACTGAAATTTCCAAGTTTTCTGAAAGTATCAAGTGATAAATAATTTACGGATGAAAGATATGGGATATGTTTGCTTTCATACCCCTAACATTGGAGGTTACGTATAAAAAAGAAGCCTACGTGAAATGGCCTGCCAGTCATGATTTGGCAGCCAATTATGACTGAGTTCTCCAGACTTCCTCTGATACTCCACCATGCATGGGAGTTAATCTTGGGCTTCCATTGATGGCCCATCATAGTAACTTCAGCACTCAATCTCAACACGCTATCAGCGGTTTGGTTCCTGCCTTTTATTTACACTTCAGCCTAGTCTGTTCAGTTCTTTGTCTAGTCTGTTATGTAAATGGTCCAATCTGCTGAGGACTTGTTTGGGGTGTATTTTTATCGGAATTGGAAAGGTTTTTGTTTTGGTGTTTGTGTAATCAGTGTAAAAAATCACTGATTTTTGAATCATGCGCTACGTTTGTCATGACGTCAAAAAACTGGCAAACGAGGTCTGTATATCGCATTGTGAGTGTGAGTGATGCATCTTGAGGGGCATGCGATAAGCCTCGTGCTGTGGCTGGAAATTTGGTGGAATAACGCTCTCTTTGAGTACCAGCAGCACCACCTCAAATTTAATTCATGAACACAGAAAATACAAACATAGACACGAGATCAAGTTTTGTGAATGAACCTGCAAAAAATTGGTGACAGCAGTGTTTTTTCAACTTGCAACTGTAGAGCTGCATTCATATTCGATGTAGTGGAACGTATGACCCTTTCTTGGCAGGAATTGTACATTGACTGGTTGGTGCACTTCCATCATGCCTTCGTTGGCAACGGTTTGGTCTGGCGGGAACCAGTGTGGTGCGGTGTGGTGTGGTGTTTTGATTTGCAAACGCTTGTTGTAAACAGTGTTCTAGCCAGGCATTCAGAAGCATATTGGGATGATAGGCTGAGCAAAAACCCTGACAGCTGAAAATCCCCCGATATGCAATCGATACGCTTCTATTTTCCAGGGGAAGAGTTCCTAATATTAAGTTAAAGAAAAATTGCAATCAGAAATTTAAATAAAGTTCTTTTAAAACACTGACGAAAAGTCACCAGAACATCGGCAAAATGCACCGAAATCGAACGAATCTTCCACAATGCAGCATAGCTAGCTAGGTCATACAAACACGAAAGTGCATGTACCTAAGTTTTTACAGCTCTGTGGAGAATCACGTACGCACGGCATGAACGATACTAGTTCCCACCGTGCTGCTGACAAGGTAATACAATAGCCCGAAAACTGATCGAAGTAAGCGACAACTAACTTGTCACAAAACCTGGTCTTTCTCTGTAGTTTCTTCTAATGCATTTATATCGATGGTTATTTTGATATACTTTGTCGTGGTTCACGAGGACGATTTTTGGTAAGACCGTGGCACACACACGGTCTCAGTAGCCGGTGTGTGCATAGTACTGCACCACATCTAAGCACAGTCTTGCAGTGTTTTTGAATCGATCTTCACATTTCCTTCGTAATTTGTTAATCGTTCTCATTTATTTTTTGAAAGTGTGTGTTTGTTATTTTAAGACCAGACTTTTTATTATTTTTAGCACAAACATTTAACCTTGTGATAATGAGAGTAAGTTTGGAATGATCATGCAATGTACAAACATATTCTTGTTGACAAAAGTTTCAGGACTTAGCAAGAAAGTTCAAACAATGGTAGGGGTCCAGGTGAATTAAGTTAATTTTCAAGCAGGCATGCCCTTTTTTGTATGTGTATAGGTAGAATAATCATACATTTTGAGTTAAAACCCCAAGAATCTATTCAGATTGAAGATTTTCAAAATGAAATGAAAACCAAGGTGTGGGCCTATTAAGCTGTTAATTTCGTACCATGGAGCTTCTCAAACAAGAACAAGCAAATGAAAAATACAATTATGCAGTAATGAAATGTGGATCAGATATTTACATGTATAAGACATTTGCCCATTTCCTTAGCAAAAGCAAAGCAAAAAACGAAGCGAAGCCCCCCCCAAAAGTAGAGAAAAGGGTAGAAGTCAGCGTAAAACTGATAATTTTGCTTTTTACAATGACTTAATAACATGGAATAGGGTAATGGGAGCTTAAAACAAAGCTGTTATATTTAACATAATAAATTTTTAACAGTGCCCTCGGGTGTCAAATAATATCCAGTCACCCTCCACCTCTTTAATTTCATCCTGGCAAGAACAATGGTTGTAGATGGGTCATCAACAACGGTTTTTCAGGCAACGGAGTCATGAAAACCTTTCGTTGTAACAGGAATTTCGTATAATGCGATTTTGCTGTACAAAACAGATTTCTCCCTATAGAAATGTGCATGTTTTCACCGGGACCAAAGATGGTCATTTGTTATAACCGGATTTTCGTTATAGTCAATTTCATAACAACGAGAGTCAACTGTACCTTGTCCAGTCTGTTTAGCACTTTGTCCAGCATGTAAAGAACCCTGTCCAGTTTGTTCAGTACCTTATCCAGTCTGTTAAGAACCTTGTTCAGTCTGTGTAGTACCTCGTCCAGTCTGTTTAGTACTTTGTCCACTCTTTTTAGTACCTTGTCCAGTCTGTGTAGCACTTTGTTCACTCATTTTAGTACCTTGTCCAATCTGCTTAGTACCTTATCCAGTCTGTTCAGTACCTTGTCCAGTCTGTTTAGTACCTTCTCTGGTCTATGAAGTATCTTGTTGTAGTCTGTGAAGTACCTTGTCGAGTCTCCCACCTACCTTGTCAAGGACTCCAAAGATTTGACAGTACTTCAGCAGGGTCTTCATGCCTTCCAGTCCCTCCTTGGCTGCCTTGCTCTTGGGTAGCTCTGGGTCCTGCAGCAGTTGCTCTACCAGCTCCAAGCTGCCTTTCATCTTGACGTAGTGACCAATTCTGTCGGCAGTCTTGGGGTCCAAACCTTTCTCCTCGATCATTTCTTCCCGGACATCTTCCCAGAAGGTCTGTCAGAACAAGACATTAAGAGTTGCCTGGGTGAATGTTGAACATTTGGTTTAACATTGTAAACACTGGAGGATCCATTCCTTAACACTTTCCTGGTATTGTTGCAGTGCATTTTTTTTTAACCTAAGCAGAGCCGTCTGGAGATTTCCAGCATAATGTCTGCTTGAATTGCTAATGGCAAATAGGCCAACATGCTTAAGGCCATGAACTTCAAATGACCCTGACAAACTACGTTTCAGATTTAACTGTAACTTCAGAGTTACCAAAGAGTGCCTTTACATGCATGCAAAGTTTCATTAAGATCAAACAAGTGAAAGCTGAATCCACCAACCCCCCAACCGCACCCCAGCTTTTGTAGGGTTAACTGAATGAAGATTGACCTTGATTCCCCAAATTATATGTAAATTGAAGGGAAGAAAATTAATTCTTAGTCTGGAGTGGATTTTCAAATTTATCACCTTGTCTAGTTTGTCAACAGAGGAGCATATAGTGCGGAACTTGTCTGCTGGTACCCCGCAGACTTCAAACATGCCATCCAGAAGCTCCCTGTGATTGACCTATAAGGAAGTGGAAACAAAGTTGACTAAAGCTGTTAGAGGCTTCAAAACAAAGTGTTTTTAAGAATAACAATATTGTTCAGATCAGAAAGCCATTGGGTTTCCAAATCACAGATGTTTGTTGGGAAACCAAGATATTAACAAAGCTCATCTCTTGAAACAATTAACGGCTTCAGTACAGCGCTGCTATGTCGAACACCACAGGGGCCAATACAAAAGCGACAATGCGAAAGAAGAGTTTCCTCATGACAACTGCCTCTGTTGCAAGTACTCGGGGGCCAGTTTACATGCACACAGGGCACTTATGTACATGTGCACTGCACGTGTATCCACAAATGACTGAGATCAATATCCATGGCTGAAAAGTGTACTTAACTCTCATGATTATATATTTTGTGAAGTGTTCAAACAGTTGGAACTTGACCAATGCAGCCCTTTTACATTTTTGCCTATTTCTGTGTGCCTTCACTCTCGATATCTGGCCTTGTTTTTCTTTTGATACACCTCAATCCATCCCTGGAAAAGAGCACTGTGTAGATTTGGGAGATTATTTCAAGGCACAAGAGATAACAGGCATTGGAAACTTTCGGCACATTGTTTTGCACTCTGAGTGAAGTAATATGAACAGTACTGATCTCTCACGAAAGGAACAGCGAGTCCTTACTTTCTAAACATAGTGTCGCTCGGATCTTGCCCAACGTTTGTTGAAATTTATTAAATGCATTACACCATATGGATTACTCGGAAAATAACAGACTAAATGGAATACATGTAAGAGGGGGTAAAGTGGTTACTTAACTAACCATTCAAACATTTTATTGTTTGTTCCTGAATATGATAAAGTCTCCAGGGGGTTTCATGCAGTGCCGTCATGTTTCATCAAATTTGGTTTAACATTTGTGATTTATCTGAGCTCAGGGAATGTTCTCTGTTAACCTGTTCAGACGTAAGTTAAGTCAACCATTATGTGACAGACACGTTTTTCCAGCAGTCTTGCTCAACAAGTTGGAGAAATGCATAAAGTTGTAAGAACACCTTGTATTTCATTCCAAATAAAAACAATCTGATGTTCAGGGGAGTGTGTGCTCGGACGTTATGGATATTTTGTCACGGGAGGGATTGGGTGAAAGCCTGGATTTCTCCCTGATAGGAATGAGCCTGGCCAACCATTTGGAGCTTCCTGCAAACGGATTCTATGTGAAGATAAATTCAAAGGTGTAATTTCCAAAGTTACTGGTAATCCAATAAAAGAACTGAAACTTGTTAAACAGGAAATCCCTTCATGAAATCTTAGCGAGCTTTGAACTGACACTGGGATGATTACTACTGAGCAAAACAAGAATTTACCTTGATGACAAATTCTCCCAAGCCCAAGTTGGTGAGAATCTCGTGGATAATTTTGAGGCACTCAGCATCAGGTATCATAGGGTCGTATTGGCCAGCTATGTCAAAATCCTGTTTAAAGATATAAAATTCTACAATACAATGTTCACATTCATTTACCAGTCTGCTTTTCAATCTACAGCAGAGAAAACTCATCAGCTGTGGACAATTCTAACAGCATAATTGTTCTAACACAACAAACTGTTATTTTTAAACACAAGACCATCAGTGTTTTTCAGTTTTGTAAAAATTTCAGCAAAAATAACTTACACACTGATAGAACTCCCTGTACCTTCCACGCGTCATGGCAGGGTTGTCACGGCGATATACTTTGGCGATGTGAAAACGCTTGATTCGGTTGATTTTATTCATGGCCAGATATCGTGCAAAAGGGACCTTTATAGAAAAAAATCCGTTAAGGAAGAAATAGGAAAAGGACAAATTTGTAGGTCTTTTCATATACGTAAACACAATACTTGGTGAGAGCTTTGTGTAAAGTTCCAACAGTAGGACATTAATTTTTGTTTCAAAATTGCAAAACAAATGGCATGTGTAACGCAAAAGATATTAAAAAGAAAGAAATAATACATCAAGAAAATTGGATTAGGTACACTAATCAGAGTTTGGAAATTGAAAACTCTTCATTCCATTTTTAATTCATTGTGTGTACAAATAAGCAGTAGATCTTTGGGGACAGGGGCTAAAGGTTTGCTCCCTGCAACAAATTTGAAAAACAGGGAACAATAATAAATGATGCTCGTTCAAGTCATGTCTTATAAAACCCATCCTCACGAGCCACAGCTGGAACCACCCCTTTAATCACTGTTGATGACAGTCAAGACTTCAAAACAATTTCCACTGTGTTCCCTGAATTCTAGTGCACTCCTCTTACCCAAGGTGCAATGCATTTGTGCACATTCATTTGCAAACAGGTGCAACTTTGACAAAAACATGACAGCAAATATTCTCATGGTCTATTTGAAAGTCTCACATCTTGACTACTTTGTTCAATTTTTGTGCTAGCTGGTCATGCGGGTCCTGAGCAAGATGAAGTCTCACTCCAGATTGGTTAAGGATACCGTTAGGTCGTATCGCAGTGACAGTAGCTCCCCTCCTTGGTCTTTGAGGTCATAGATCAGCTTGGAGTCCTCCCCGTACTTGCCCGTCAGTGTCTCCTTCAGCTCAAAGACGGGCGTGTCGATGGTCTCGGCACCGTGACGCTTGAAGCTGTCCACTATCGTCTTGAAGACGCCCTCACGGATGGCCATCTGCCTGGGGTTGTAGTCCCTGGTCCCCTGAGTGGGAGGTGGGGAAGGGGGGGTATCTTTTAATCCTTTCAGGCAAAGTAATACACTGGAAAAAAGCTTACAATCTTGCAAAATGAAGCCACTCCTACGAACAGATACAAGATTCGAGTCTGGGTACACCTATAGACCTTTTTCCTGTGATGTCACACTCATGCCGGACCGTGATCTGTTATGATAGTAATGAGTGCATAGTGTTGTGATGGTAATTTACTTTCAAGATAAACTCGTCAAGCATGAAGCGTTCACACATGGTTGAAGCTGCCCATAGAACTATATGCAATCACCGTCACCACGGCGGTTCACACGTGGTGGTATTGTTTACAATTAGCGCAATCCAGTGGGTGATAAAGGTGGGTGACCTCGTTATTCTGTGTGGCATATGAATAGTCTGTTGCGGGAAGTATTGCCACTGCACCTGAACATGAGCGGACATGTACGGCACGCAAGTTACGTTCCACTCCACCTTCAGTGTCTCGTACCCCTTCATTACGGAACAAATATCACAATTATTCTGACCAGCTAAGTAAGATTTTGGGATTTATGCATCTTAGAGATATTATATTGTGCATTTTTACACATCGTCAAAACTCCTCGTTTTAATGCATTTGGGCCACAACAATGCCAGTTACATGCATCTTCATGCATGCTTCATGTATGCCTGTTGTGCCTTTCTCTCCGTTACATCATCAACCCAACATAAACACAAAATTTGACCTTCCGTGTTTCCAAAATCGACCCAGTTGGTTGTGGACAGAAATGGCCTGTTATTTCTCTCGTGTTGATTTTCGAAAGATAATTCATTATAAACTGGTTCCTGGGAGTCCAATCTACCTCCCAAACCCCAGATGCCGTAATGATTTGAAGCCTCTTTTCTACCTCTTCATCCTGCCAAAATTCAGTCCAACGTAGCTACATAATGGTAGGTTCTTTGTAGTAGAATTGGGGCATTCAGCACCAAGAGGCAGTGACTAGGCTTCATAGTAAGGAGCTTCAAAGTACAGATGCGTCTTCGAAGCTAACTGGCTACTTACCTTCGGGGTTTTGAGGACAAACTTTTGAGTACTGGCATCATCTCCAAGTTGGGCTTTCAGTTCCAGAAGCTTGGCAACCTCTTCAGCGATCTGAATCGGGGGGGGGACAAAATCAAATTTCTTATTGAGTAACAAGCTGTGAATTGAGCTTCACAGTAATTGAACAAGCTCTAAAGATATATGGCTTGCAAACCTTCCTGTAAAAGGCTAAAGAGATATGAACCACAAGTGCTCCACTTTTGGGGAGGGGGTGAAGTTAAAACCATGCTACACTCTAACTGCATACAACTGTCTGCATATCACCCAGAGACCATATTACCACCATTCACTCGTGGTGGTCTTGAATCAGCCTTTTCATGATCCAGTTTTGATTGCTGTATCTGGTCTCACTTTTTAAAACTGAATATCCGAAAAAGTAGCTTCCACTGCCAAAGAAAAGATACTGTGGCGCCATCCAGTCTTAAACTCACTGCAGGAAAAATTGTTCCTGTCAATTGGAATAAGGCTATAAATAGTTGTACAGGTGATTACACATTTCTTACAAGGTCCTCACCACAACGAGTCTGGACCATGGGCAGAAACCAGAGAGTCTGATGTTCAATTTTTTTTCCTTTTTGCAATTTGGAAACTGGTTGTGGAATTACTGGTTTGTCCTACCACTATAATTTACCAGTTGATTACCACTTCTTACAAATATTTAGATACAATTTATTTCAATCAAAATTAAAAAGCAGAATCACATGTACCTGATTATTTGCATCGTGGCAAATGCAGCGCCCAGCCATGGGAAACGGAATCCACCGGCAACCCAGTCGATGCAGAAACATGAGTTTGGTCCAGGTCAATGCCATGGTGATAATCCAATGAAACAACCACAGGCAGCATCAAACAGCCAGCACACGGAGAGAGAGAGAGAGAGAGAGAGAGACAACGAGAGACCAAGGCAGGAAGAGCGTTCCACAGGATGACAGGGACCAGAGATAGAGGCGAGATCCGTTTGGGCAGAGAGATGAAAGAAAACTGTAGGTTAGGCCTGGGCCCAGTTACAGGGAGGGGAACAGAGAATAGGTAACGGTGAATCAATGGGGTCACGTAGCCAGAGGAATCGGCAACACAAGAGGCAGATACCAGACTTTGTTTTTCAAGTTCTGAAGCCCTGTTACATGGTCCATGGTCAATGTCTGTGTCTAAGGGGTCGCTAAGGTTGAGTCAAAGTCTGTCACAAAGGCCAAGTCAATGATTCCAGGATCATGTCAAAGGCTCGATCACTAATCATTTATTGTACATGTACATTAACTCGGCCATCAACCATTCAAAAACAAAGGGAAAAATCTTAATTGTTAAAGAAAATCTGTTTCATTTTGAAGAAAGTAAAGAAAGTCTAGTTGAGTTTTAGACATTGTGCTTAGCACTTTCTCTTTCCTTCCCAAATGTGAGTAAACCTTACCATCATTATTGGAATTACCAATTTCCACTTAAACTTAAGCCAGGCGCATTAGACAATTTAAGGACCATTTTGGAGGTAAATTTGGAAGATTTGATTGAAAAGAATATTAAAGGAAGAAAGAAATTTTGAGAGTCGATTGTCAACTATCTGTTCAAGCATTTTAGAAAAAGCACAAGTACCAGTGACTGGCCTAGATCACTGACAGATTTTGCTGCTTTTTTGGGCGTGGTGATACCCAAGAAGATACCAGTAGCAGTGCAGAAGCAGAACAGATATTAATCTTGGGACTACATGAAACATTGACAGGTGGTGAGGTGGAAGTCAGTAAAAAGTGGGAGTTTTAAAAGGGAAATAAAGTCCGAAATCTGCGCTTAAGTTGGTGCGCTTGCGCAGTTGCAGTGCCGTAATGATAGAAAATGGGAGATGCGTTAAGGCTGCCGCAACAACAGTCAATGCGTTCCACTAAAAGGGTAGATTTCTGTGCGTGAGCTCATTAATATTTGTGATCCCATTGGGATTTGACAATAAGACGTGCCAGCATTGGAAGAGGTATTTTTAAAAAAAATCATGAATTTGGGACTTCTGACGTCCGATTTGCTGTATTTTGCTCACAAAAAACTCCAACCCGTGGGCCTATTTTGCAAATTGCATAGAGGCGAGTGCGGCGGCTACATTGAGAGCTGAGTGCATAGGCCTAGTTTTACTCCTATTTTAGGAGTGTTTTTCGGCGAAGGGTGAATTTTAAAAAAATGTGCATGGCTAACCCCTACAAAATTAAAAGAAAGGTGAATTTCTGGCCATAATCTTGTATTTTCAAAGGAAAGTGGGAGGCCAACCTCTCCTTGAGAGTCACCAGGTGATGCTGATTCTGTCTGATTTTGCACTGTTTTCAATGGCCCAAATAGTGTAACTGTACATAATGCAACCTTAGGGGCGAAGTGGAAATGGGGCAAAGTGACTGCTAATCATGAAACTACATGTAGCACCGTCAACGGGTCAATGACCGTTCTCTCGGATTGGAATTCCCCTCTGGCATGTCTGGAACTTCATGGATTGGAAGGAGACCTAGGCCTACCTTGTCTTTGTCTGAATTCTCTGCCTTTAACTTTCTCACGACTTCACCTTGCTTTTTGATCTTGTCAACAACAACTCGTTTTTCCGTATCCGCCATGGTTTAAAATTCAAGGTAGAAAATCGAACTGGACCTGAATGATGCAACCTCGTCCAGTTTGATCATGCACGGCCGGCTTGCCTTGTAACATGCAGTCACATGTCCTCTGCATAAATATATGTACACGTTCAAGCGGCTTCATTTGTCATTCTCACATGAATGACGCCCTCTCGTGGTTTTATCAAGTGCGCCCTCTTGTGAGATTATTTCATCTTTGGGAAGTGCGCCCCCTTCCGGATTTTTTGTGAAAAAAACGCCCTCTTGTGAAACCGATAATGACGTTTTCTTAATAGAGCACGCCCTCTCTTGAGTTAGTTTAATGCATGTTTTGTTTTTAAAGTCATCTTGAAGAGCCCCCTCTCGTGATTTAGATTTTTTCCATGTTATCTTGAAGAGCGCCCTCAGACAATAATCTTTATCTTTAAGTATTGTTCGGATACCTTAAACGGAAAATACGCCCCAATTATTTAATTTGTTCATGTTTATTCGCAGCTGTAAAAAAAATAACTTCAATAATTTGCGACGCATTTCTGTGTTCAAGGCTTAACTATTATAACTTGTATACAGCTTGAAAATAAAAGTTTTCAAGGAAAGAGAGGATGATGTTCAAGTATGAGGGAATCTGATTGTACATGTAATACAGGCGCGGACAGGGGGGCCAATCCCCGCTGCTGTGAGACAAAATAAATTCACGAAAATGGGGAAAATAAAATAATAAGTTAAAACAAAAAGCAAATAAAAAAGCATCCCGCAGACACTTGTTATATGAACAAGGTGAGTGTTACAAATAGGAGATTACAGTCCGCAAAAATGAGACATCAAAACAATATCTCCGACCTGACCTCCCTTCCTGGAAAAATTCCTGGATTGTCCCCAGTTATTCTAAAAACCTGAACCTAATTATAAAAAGTTCTGCGAGAACAGCAGATCCGTCATGGGGTGGAACAAGGGCCCCTGGAAGCAGCAGGCCCCCCCCCGGCAAAAATAATAAGCATCAGAATTATACTCCCCCCCAGTAGTACAGTGTCCCGCCCCCATGCCCCAAACTGGCTGGTGGAAAATTCTATGAGAACAGCTAACTATCCAACATTTGGACGGCTCAAGGAACTGGGTAATCCCTTCCTCCATGGTTGGCACATTAAGGCAGCATGAAATTACAAAAATTGAAATTTTTGCTTTTGCCTTTGAAAAAAAATTCCGCCGGGCACAATAGACCAGAACTTCTACCTTATTTGAAATTTCTGCTTGCAGAAAATGGAAAGTATATGTTGGAAGTTTTGTGACCACTGACCAGAGTGTGCTTTTTATTTCTTAAACGTTCTACGTACGTGTATTTTGTTTTCTATTGTTTTCTATTGCTTTGCCAGAACCAGTTATTTTCAGATGTGCACTTAAAGTAATTTAAGAGGCTCAATTCAATTTTCAAATTTTGTATAATTCATAGCTTTATTAATTGAAATTGTTTCATTATTGTTATGTCGTATCATTATGTTATATTAAGTTTATATTGTGTTTATTTCCTTAATTTTTTGTATTGATAATTTTATGATTTTTATTGTTTCCCGTTTCTTATTTAACCAGTTGGAGAGCCGCTCGACAGAACTTATGTTTCTCTCGGGCAATCCAGCTGGAGCTGGCTAAATATTGTATCCTTAAATGTTTTACTTCAAATGTCTAAATATATGTTTGGGAATTGAATGTCTTTACTGGTGTATCCCGAAAAATGACATAATGAAATGAAGTTTAATCGGGAAAAAAAACCAACACTCCAACAGACTGAAGGAAATTTAATGCAAAGACGCCATGCTCTTCTTCGGATACGTTTAGAGCTTACCTGCACCCATTTACACAATGTTAACAGGTACTAGGTACAGCGCTGTACATGTACATAGTACATGTACATGTACATGTACGTGTACCAGTCTAGTACGTGTACCGCGTACCGCGGTACCGTTACCTTATCGTATCATTGCCCTGGACCGGACCCAAGGTCAAAAATCTCGAACACCATCGACGTATGATCGATGCGTCCAAGACCGAGAAAAATGTCGCCGATTAGGTTGTTGTAGTCACCTCAACCTGACAATGACTTCAAGAGACTTTCGACCACCGAAATAAACGAGTCGATCTGCTGCAGTGAGGCGACCAAGGTGAATTTGTTTGAGCGTGGGAATCGACATCCGCTAGCGGCGTGACAACGACTGGTGTCCCGTATGCGTACTCTGCCGCGGGGCGGACATGGCGCACTAGTTCACGGGCGAGTGTTGGCCTAGGTGTAGAACTTTCCTTCTTCCATGGTTGTCCGTGTTCATGGTATTGTGCTTTGCCATGTCTAAGAGAGGACGTGAAGCTGACAGTTTATTTTTCTGACCAGATCATGAGAGTGTGCTCACAAAAACTTATGACAATACAGACAGATTTATTGAGAGCTTGAGACTAAAATCTGCCGTTTGACGTAAAACTGCTGTTAGGCTTACTCCTACCCAAAACTGTCACACCCATGTTTGACTGTTTCCAACATGTCCTATGAGATCAAGGCAGTTTATAGCAGGTTGATCATCTAATTCAGTTCAGCAGAATCTCGAGGATGTCATTTTGACATTGTTGACATGACAGACCCTGGTATTGAGCTGGTGTTGAAATTCATGAGATGCAGTTTGCCCAGGAGCCCGGCTGAAAACATTAGTAAGTAGAACTAGACATGGACCAAACAGTGAATATTGCTTCATGTTCTTGGTGAGATGAGATTCATCTTTGCTGATGGAAGTCTGATGGTCCACCCGCCTCTCGTCTCTTTTGGTCCACTATGAACTACGGCAGAAGGACACCTCTGCCAAGGTTCAAAACCAAATTGTGAGTATCACTCAGTCAGTAGGCCAGCTTGTTGATAAAAACAAAACAAGAGACAAAAGAAAAAGTTTGTCAGTTTGTTTGTGGCTTGCCTGGGTATGTTTAGTATTTCCACATGTATATATACAAAAATACATGCAGTCAAACTTGCATTAATGTGTGTTCAGAAGTTGCACAGTCAACTTCGTAGGGAAAATGACTGACAGACTTACATTGGAAGTTTTGACCCACTGGTATTTTTTTCCCCAATGTGTAAAGTGAGGAAGGGGGAGGGTAGGATGTCAATACTTGTGACAAGAGACACCCATCCTGAGGTTCTTTGGATGTGCCGTTTAATACTTTGGTGTGCAGGTTGACGCATAGAAAACCTCCCGCGTAATAAGCATACGAAATATAGAATTTCAACATGGAATTACCATCTTAATAACAATGGAGAAAGTATCACACACTTGTTGTTTAGAGAGTGATATGCTTAAAAGTACTTCTTAACTCGATGTTTACAAAACTGAGTTACCTCTGGGGAAGATATCCCCATCTCTATTACATAATAATAACTTTAATGTCTTGTAAAATTTAAGCTTTGCAACAATGCAACATTTCCCCAAACAGTGGAATAGGAAGTAACAGTGAAAAGTTTTACACCTGCCACAAATGCTTAAGCAGTATGAGTAAAATGTGTTGCTGGGTTGTAGACTCTTACCCCCGGCAATGGCACAACCTGGCCACCGTAGATACTGAGGCAAGTTGGGCATCACGGTCCAGATATGTAATTCTGGTCCAATACCAGAATTATGAGTACACCTATGACAATATAACTTGCAACATATGTTATTTTGAAATCAAAACCAAAATGCAAGTCGTAGTGAGGTACATGTAATTGACTGATTTGCAAAATATTAATTAAAAAATCACTGTAAATCTTCAGTTCATGCGTTGCAGTTAATTTTATGCTGCATAAACAAGAAAGGGCCTTCAAAAGTTTCATAATAAATTTATCAACAGTGCTGAAAAAGTCACCCCTCAATGTAAATCAACATCTAACCGTGGCACTTCTAGGCCTCCGTAGTGTACATCTAAACAACTTCATGGTCATCCATGTTGGCGATGAATGCTAATTTATCATCCAATGCAATCATCACAAAAACTATTATATGGGACACTTCCCTGTATGACAGTTAACAGCATAAATACAACATTTTGTTAGCTGTTTTGGCATTCTTGCTGAAACAGCTCTTGTTTTCGTTAAAGTTTTTTTCCTCCCCTTTTTTTCCTTTTCCTGACTATTTCTTCAGCCAATCAAATTTGTTACCATAATGCATCTGATCGACTTCAAACTTGGCACAATGTGAAAACATCATCCAAGGACAGTCCTAGAAGAAATTTGGCATCAATTTTTTAATTCTTGAATATTTAATTTTTTCCCATAGACTTTGTACACAGATTTGAGGCACCATTTTTGTCACTTACCAATCTTAGATCTTCATCAAAGTTACAATAAGAAACTACCCAAAGACTGAGAAGATACTGAAATAATGACATCTCAATGGCATCATCACATTATTTATTTTTGAATTTTGAATATTTAATTTTTCTCCATAGGTTTTGTACACGTTTTTCTACTACGCAATATTATCGATCTTAATGAGAGTAGTCCTGAACTTTGGCTGAGGATTATGATGAGAACAAGAGGGAAATCATATTTTTTCTGTCTTTGTTCTGTTATTAACATACCCAAGAGTCCAAATATCAAATAATATTTCAGTATTGTTTTGCAATATAAACGCAAATCATGTGACAAGAGTTTTTCTCCGCAGGTTTTGTGCACGTTTTTATGAAGTCAAAGACTGATACACTCATGCGTCTGAGTGACTTTGTATTGGGATCATATGTAGTACATCAACCGGTGGGGCTGTCAAAATAATATCGTCACGGTGGCATCATCAGGGGTCACGTGACATAAGATTAAAGTTGCAGTTTTCTCCATAGGTTTTGTACATGTTTTTCTACTACCCAATATTATCGATCTTAATGAAAGTAGTCCTGATCTTCGGCTGAGGATTACTATGAGAACGAAAGAAAATCATATTTTTTCCCATTTTCGTTCGATTACAACTATACCCAAGAGTCCAAATATCAAATGATA